AATAATTCGATAGAAATTGTCTCCAAAAATGCAGACGCATTAAGTAAGCGTGGAGAAACTAATCGCAAGATGAATAAGCCCCAAAAAACAAGAACATACTCAAATAATTCGATAGAAATTGTCTCCAAAAATGCAGACGCATTAAGTAAGCGTGGAGAAACTAATCGCAAGATGAATAAGCCCCAAAAAACAAGAACATACTCAAATAATTCGATAGAAATTGTCTCCAAAAATGCAGACGCATTAAGTAAGCGTGGAGAAACTAATCGCAAGATGAATAAAGAATCTTTAGCAAATTTAAATAAATCCTTAAAAGATAAGCCAAATGATATAGACGCATTAAATGAGCGTGGAGTAATTCATCGAATGATGAACAAATACAAGGAATCACTCTCAGATTTAAATAAATTATTAGAAATAGCATCAAAGCAGCGTGGAGCAGCTAATCACATGAAGGCCAGACAAGAAGAATCACTATTAGATTCAAACAAAATATTAGCAATAGCATTGATGCAGCGTGGAATAACTTATAGGATGATGAATAAATATGAAGAATCACTAGCAGATTTAAATGAATCATTAAAAATCAATCCAAATAATGCAGAAGCATTAAGTGAACGTGGAGAAACTTATCGCAAGATGAACAAATACGAAGAATCACTAGCAGATTTGAATAAATCATTAGAAATTAATCCGAAAAATGCAGAAGCATTAGCAAATCGTGGAGAAATTTATCGCGCGACTGACAGATATGAAGAATCAATTGCAGATTTAAATAAATCATTAAAAATTAAACCTAATAATGAATTTGCATTAAGAATCCGTGGCACAACTTTTTCTCTAATGGACAGATACGAAGAATCACTAGCTGATTTAAATAAATTATTAGAAATCCGTCCAAATAATATACAAGCACTAAAGCGGCGTGGATTAACTTATCGCAAGATGAACAGATACCAAGAAACGCTAGCAAATTTAAATAAATCATTAGAAATTAATCCAAATAGTGCAATTATATTAGCAGAGCGCGGAGTAACTTATTGCATGATAAACATGTATAAAGAATCACTAGCAGATTTAAATAAATCATTGGAAATTTGTCCAAATAATGCTGAAGTGTTAAAACAACGTGGAATAACTTATCGCAAGATGAATAGGTACGAAGAATCATTAGCTGATTTTAATAAATCATTAGAGATTAAGCCAGATAATTCGTTAACGCTGGACAAATACGAAGAATTACTAGCAGATTTAAATAAGTCATTAGAAACCAATCCAAATGATGCAAACGCATTAAATGAGCGTGGGGCAACCTACCTCATGATGAACAGATATGAAGAATCACTAGCAGATTTAAATGAATCATTAGAAATAAATCCAGATAATTCATTTGCAATAGCATACCGTGGAGCGAATTATTTTATGATGAATAGATACAAGGAATCACTAGCAGATTTAAATAAATCATTAGAAATTAATCTAAATAACGCATTTGCATTAGCGTACCGTGGTGCGACATATTTTAAGATGAATAGATACGAGGAATCACTAGCAGATTTAAATAAATCATTAGAGATTAATTTAAACAATGTATTTGCATTAAAAAACCGCGCTGCAATATATTTTAAGATGGACAAATACGAAGAATCACTAGCAGATTTAAATAAATTATTAGAATTTAATTTAAATAATGTAGAAGCATTAAAGGAGCGTGGAATAACTTGTCGCATGATGAACAGATATGAAGAATCATTAGAAGACTTAAATAAAGCATTAGAAATTAATCCAAATCACGTATTTACATTAGCAGGCCGTGGAGTAACTTATAGGATGATGAACAGATACGAAGAATCGCTAGCTGATCTAAATAAATCATTAGAAATGAATCCAAATAATGCAACTATATTAGCAGAGCGTGGAGTAACTTATCGCAAGATGAACAGATACGAAGAATCACTAGTTGATTTGAACAAATCATTAGAAATCAATTACAATAATGCAATTATATTAGCAGAGCGTGGAGTAACTTATTGCAAGTTGAATAGATATGAAGAATCGCTAGCAGATTTAAATAAATCATTAATAATAAATCCAAATAATAATCCATTTGCATTAAAAAACCGTGGAAAAATTTATCGTATGATGGACAGATATGAAAAATCATTGGCAGATTTAAATAAAGCATTGGAAATTAATCCAAATGATGCAAACACGTTAAGTGAGCGCGGAACAACTTATCGCATGATGGACAGGTATAAAGAATCACTGACAGATTTAAATAGATCATTAGAAATCAATGCAAATGATGCAGACGCATTAAGCGAACGTGGAATAATTTATCACATGATGAACAGATATGAAAAATCACTGGCGGATTTAAATAAATCATTAGAAATTAATCCAAATAATTCATATGCATTAAATAAGCGTGGAACAGTTTATCGCATGATGAACAGATATGAAGAATCATTAGCGGATTTTAATAGATCATTAGAAATTAATTCAAATAATGCAGACGCATTAAGTGAGCGTGGAACAATTTATCACATGTTGAACAAATACGAAGAATCATTAACAGATTTAGATAAATCATTAGAAATTAATCCAACTAATGTAGAAGCATTGGCATACCGTGGAGCAACTTATCTAATGATCAATAGGTATGAGGATTCACTAGCAGATTTAAATAAGTCATTAGAAATGAATCCAAATCATGCAGAAGCATTAGCATATCGTGGAGCAACTTATCTAATGATGAATAGATATAAGGAATCGTTAGCAGATTTAAATAAATCATTGGAAATTAACCATAATAATGCCTTTACATTAAAAAACCGTGGCGCATTATTTTTTAAGATGAACAGATACGAAGAATCACTAGTAGATTTAAATAAATCATTAGATATTAATCCAGATTATGCAGATGCATTAGCAAACCGTGGAGAAACTTATCGCATGATGGACAGATACGAAGAATCGCTAGCAGATTTAAATAAATCATTGGAAATTGATCCAAATAATTCATATGCATTAAATAAGCGTGGAACAGCTTATCGCATGATGAACAGATATGAAGAATCATTAGCGGATTTTAATAGATCATTAGAAATTAATTCAAATAATGCAGACGCATTAAATGAGCGTGGAACAATTTATTACATATTGAACAAATATGAAGAATCACTAGCAGACTTGAATAAATCATTAGAAATTAATCCAAATAATGTAGAAGCATTGGCATACCGTGGAGCAACTTATCTAATGATCAATAGATATGAGGAATCACTAGCAGATT